GCCCCCAACGTCGGTAGCGTTTGACGTCACTTCTGGTGATGTCGCGGCGGCGCACGCGCGCTGCGCGCGCACGCACACACACATGCGGACTGCTCCCGGACGGGACGCAGACTCCCCCGCCGGTGAGTGAAAATTATTTGGCAACCCTAGTTCAGTAGGCTACAGAAGGACAGAACAGCAGGAAACTCCTGCTCTGTGAAATCTACAAATGGTTAGGCAGAGAACATGCACTCTTTCTTTCTGTCAAAGAATTTTTTAAAAACTGTTTTCTGAAAGTCACCTGAAAACAATTGTTCAAAGTGATTTCTATACATACTTTGTTTTTTAAAAAAAGGAAAGGAAAGGGGAGGATTTACAAAAGATACTAAAACCATCTCATTAACAAACTACAGAGAGCAACAATTGTTTTAGAGGAGAATATTTCTTACCCAGTTATTCAGTGGGCTCCATTCAGAGGGGACCTCTGGTTTGTGTGAAAAGGGAAATGGTCTTGGATTCCACAAAAGTTCAAAGGAAAAGTTGTACTCCCACAAGGGAGGTATTTAAATACAGGAAGAAAGGTCTAACTTCCAGGAAACTAAGATAGTTATATAAAACTTTATTAATACACATTGTTGCTGAAAGAAATCTCCAAGACAAACCTCTCACACTTAAGACCTGAGTCTCTAAGAAAATAAGCTTCAACTCTGTTGCCTGTTCAAAATATTATAATTTGTATAAAGAACAAAATTTACCTCAGGTTCTCATTTCCTGCCCATTCCCAACCCAACTGAGCCTGTTTAATAAAATTGAACTTTACTTTGTGTCAAGTGTCATTTCCAAAGGGATATGTAAGAGGGTTTCTGATTAGGTACCATAAATATCTGGCCTGGGCAAAAGCCAAATAACTTCTCTATCACAGGGTGGGACATGCAGAGATTTATATTTATACTACTAAAATGTGCTACTAAGAGGCTGCTCAGTCGGAGTGAGGAGGAAGCATTTTGGTGGGGAAATCTGCCTCACGGTGTGGAAGAAGCAGAAGTCCCTCATAACACCAAACCCCAAAACTGTGGGTGATCCTACTGAGGGGCCTTATATTATTAAAGCAGCATAGGGAAGAGAACAGAATCCTTGTGCACCATGTGTCAGCTCTGAAGGGGACCCAAAATTATGAAGAAAGAAAATGAGAGAGTGATTGTAAACACAAATAAACAACTATATTGAATACAAAATAAAGTAAAAAGAATAAAAATATAAACAACCTACACTGGACACATAACCACACATGCGCACACATACACCAACAAGAGAGCACACTTATAGAAGATAGGCGGGAGGAAATTCAGAAGTTTTTGGGAAGGGACATATGACCTGAAATCCTGGGCTTGAGGTCCGGCGAGGTCCAAGGGCAAACACAGCTGAGGTCCAAGGAGCAGAGCGAGAATCCAGCTAAGCAGAAAAAAGTCAGTGAAGTGCAGCAGGGGTTCTCCACAGGAAACAATAATTGTGACCAGCAGAGCTCTGGACCAGGGATCTGTTTGCTATGGCAGGTGAGATTTGGTCCATCCTGGCTTTGGATTCGGTCAAGATAAAGAAAAATTGAATCTCACTGGCTGGTTTAAAGTTAACTGGTTTCAAACTTTGGCAGGAAAAAGTGGGAGAAATAGCTTGATTAGGCTATTATGAGCCAAATCTGCATGGGCACAAAGAGCCTGGGTGATGCAACATGATAACATACTTTAACCAGGTTGCAGTGAACCAGATCTTCATTGACACAAAAGTTTGGGTGAATCGAGATAGCTTCTGAATCATGATGGAGCATAAATTACTGACTTGAGTGCCCTTCTTGAGTGAGTAAAAAAAGGAAAACGAGGAACTGGGCATCGGTAAATGAAATAGCAAATTTCCTTGGGCTGTGCAGGCCAAGATATTCCAGTGTTGAAAAGTATTTTGTTATTGAGAATGATTTTACCCCGCACTGGGGGAGAGTGCACTTAATCAGTTTCTAATGCCAGCACACCCTTCTTGTTCTTCCCTGGAATTTTTCAATGTCATGGCTGTATCCACGTTCGTTTATGAGACTCTCCAAGTTTCAGATCTCCTTGACGCTTAGGCTGTAAAAGGGAGTGCCTATTAAAACAGCTAAAGGAGAACTTCAGTAACCAAGGGGGTCTCGGCTGGAGAAAAGGGTGGTGTCCTCACAAGTTCTACACCTCTCTTTATTTTTCTCTGTATTCTGTTGCATAGGAAAGACTAGAACTATTTTAAGATAACCTTACTCTCTCATCTGAATCTGAATTCAAGAGAATTTCATTTACTAATACATTCTAGTTCAGCTGTTTCATGCTGGAACTTCCCTTTGAAGTCTTTTTGTAGAAATATGATTAGTTTGAGGTTAGCAGAAAAACTTCTTGAATTGAAATGTCCCAGGAGATATTTCAATGGCCCAGGAGAACATCAATCTAGTATATAATAATGTCTTTTAATTATTATTTTTGCATCAACCATATTACCCTCAGATGTAGCCAATAAGATCATTAGATTGTTCTGCATACTGGATTCACTGTTTGCTTTAAAATATAGGTTGTATGCAAGTTAAACTTTTTATATGAGATGAAATCCTCAAGTGATATCTGATAGCTTTTGAAGCAGCCAGCCTTTGAAGTCAGGGGGACATGTCAAGGAATATTATAGTATCTTTCTTGCTAAGCTAGGCTCAAGCACTGGTTGCTTTAATTTTAAAAAATCAGGGTTATGCAACTGCAAGTGGTTATTCACGTATTGCTATTAAGTATGGTCTTGGTTCTGACCATTCTGCTAAGCCTCTTGTTAACAGAACCTATGAAATGTTTGCAGTTTTGTAAAGGTCACATCCAAATGCACATCCAAATAAGAAAGTATAGAAATAGAGTTGCCATGCATGCCGTGGCCTAGCAACTGGCAGGAGATGGGGAAGATGAAAACTTACAGGGGTTTTTTTTTGGGGGGGGGGATGATCATTGTTCCTGCCGTGATGACTCAACTTCTCATGCAACCTGGAAGTGACATCATTGCACTAGAAGAAATACTTTATCTAGAGTGTTGCCCTAGCGCAATGACATCATTTTCAGGTTGCTCCAGAGGTTCTGTCATCACATCAGTGACAACTATTGCGCCCCGCCATTTTGTCAGCCACTTTGTTCTCACCACTCAGCTGAGCAGTGGTGGGCAGCAGCATCTGAGGACAGGAGATCTCCCATTGTAAGTGGGAACATGGTAAGCCTCTATAGAAAACTAGGCACCATTAAACATCGAGTGGGGAAGGCATTCCTCAGCTGAGGTGCCAACACTGCAAAAGCCCTCTCTCTGGTCATGAGCAGGCTTGACATGCCGACCCTAACTGGTGTTCAGTTTGTTCAGTAGGGAGAATGGGAAGGGAGACTAACTCTTAAAGGTGATCCCCAGTTTTTAAACTGTAGTCCTCAAGGAGCAGAGCTGGGCCTACTTGAATAACTTTTCATGTTGGTACTATACTTTGGGTGTTAACAGTCAGCCTGAACTTCTGTCAGTGATAACTTTTGATACTATGCTTTGGGTGTTGTTAACAGTCAGCCTGAACTTCTGTCAGTGTTGGGCATGTTGTGTAGAACTACTGTATATTTTAGGTAGAATAATAAGTAATCTTAAAAAATGGAAGTACTTAGGCATAATTTATTTCTTCTTTCTTGGTTTACTTTCAGAAAAATTGCATGCATTCAGAAATCCTTCAGACAGTTATAACTGTAAATCTTGTGTGTATAAACTCAGTGTTGTTCTCTCTGTTTTGTCATAGTGACATATGTTGTGTATTTGGTCCCACACAGAGCAGAAATTTTTTCAAGCTTTATTAACTACACAAATCATGTGTGAACCCTGAAGCTAAGCAAAATAATGAAAACCCACTGTCATTTCAAAGATTCGTTATCAGTAGCTTTGTAAAATTTGTGTCCAAACAAGCAGTCAGAAATACCTTAAGTAGCAATAATGTTCCCACCACCTCTGATAAAAATATATGTATGCAAACAGAAGATTGTATTCCTTGTAACTGTGTTGTAGAAGGCACACTGCACCAGCTGCTATTTTATAATGATACTGATGGGGATTGTAGAAACATGTATATTCACCAGATTCAGTTTAATTCTCTGCTTTGCAGAATTCAGTTTTTGTTCTTGCACATGGCTTGGAGTATCATAGGAGATGCTGTGACTGGTGTCAGCATGTATAGGCCCTGCTGTTTGAATGGTGGTACATCATGCCTAAAGTTCTTTTGTTCCAGGAAGTGTTTGCATCAGTAATAGAAGGATGAGGCATACATGCAGGCCAATTCCACATTACCACTTTTGGAGTACAGAAAGCCCCACTGGGTTTAAGTCCCTGTGGATGTGTGTGAAAAGGCACTTCTTCACAGGCTGTGTATACTCTACTATTGGCATTTCTGCTGTGGTGAAATCTCAAGAAAAATACCATTACTATCATGGAAATCTTGCCGGCCACATATATAGGGATGCGGCTCCCATACACTACACTTCCATGCAAATGTCTGGAAGTCTGAGACCTGCCATGTGCACTACTGAGGCATTTGCACTGGTGTTATTATGTGTGAACCATGCTTTAGAGAAGTGTGGGATGTTGGGAGTAGGTCAGATGTCCCTAGACCCAGGCATATCCTTGTCCTTATAGTTTTATGATCGAGAGAGAAAGGGTAAAGTTCATGGCAAAACCTGATTTCTGAAAAATCTAAAAGAGAAGGACTCTTTGAAGAAGAAAAATGTAAACCACTTGACTTTTACAATCTATTTTTACATTTGTGCTAAAATAAGTACATGTATAAAACCGAGACAACCAACTTTCTCACCAGCTTCTACAGTGCACGGTAAAATATTGCTCCAATTCTGTAAACAGATTCAGGTGGGTAGCCGTGCTGGTTTGAAGCAACAGAACAAAGCTTGAGTCCAGTGGCACCTTTAAGACCCACAAAGTTTTATTCAAGGAATAAGCTTCCATGTGCAAGCATACTTCTTCAGATACAGTGGAACAGAATTTCCTCAACCATTATGCATAGGAGGGAGGGTAGTTGCCAGGAAGGGCCAATTAGAGTCAAGACAGAGACAGAAACAAAATTGGAAATTACCAGTCCATACATATAGGTGAGCAGTAAATTATCATACAGCATAATGAGGTAGAGGGTGAGCAGTAAATTATACAGCATAATGGAGATGTTAACAGATTCAAGGATCTTTTACTTGTACATAACAACTCATGATATATGACAAACCTGATGAATCTATATTTCCCCCCTACGCTTTCTTCCTTCTTGCATCCCACCTTTTTAAAAACGAAAATAATAAAAAATTAAAAGATTTAAGGATCAAACAGGAATAATAAGCTTAGTTTACATCGTTATGTTCCAATTCTGTATAGATTATCGTTGTTGGTCTCTAAGGTGCTACTGACTCAAATCTAGTTGTTCTGCTGCAGACCAGAGGCTACCCTCTGAAATGCAGTCATCAGATATGCATGGTTAACCTCTGGACATATGTGGGTAACTTTTGTAGCATCATTCTTCAGGCAGTGGCCAAGGGCCTGGGAATGGTCAACTTCATAATAAAGTCTTCTGGAGAGTTGGCATATCAGTTTTTTTAAATAAATATCATATACAAAATCCAAAGAAGAATTGTGTTCCTAAAATTTAGAATCTTATTTTTTAAAAAACCTAAAAACATTTTTGGTGGGGCCACCAGTGACAAATAGAATTTTGGAAATTATTGCTCTAGAAACAAATGTGCTCCCCATTTTTTAAAAATAAATTAGTATCATATACAAAATCCAAAGGAGAATTGTGTTCCTAAAATTTAGAATCTTGTTTTTTTTCAAACCTAAAAACATTTTTGGTGGGGCCACCAGCGACAAATAGAATTTTGGAAATTATTGCTCTAGAAACGAATGTGCTCCCCTTGAGAAGAGAGAGATTGATATAAACTCTTTTTACATGTCATTTGTTTCAGGAGTACATATTAATGTTGTACAGGAATTGACTGGCAAGCTTATGCCCAGATGTTATCCTCCCACTATTACTCTGATCTGCAGCTCTTTCAGAATTGATGGAGTTTTATCATTTCTGTCTGATTTGTGCTGCACCAGCCTCCTAGAAGCTGACCGGGTGGAAAAATCTACCTGTGATCAAACAGCATGGGATTCCCGTTTTTGTTGGAAGAGTTCAGTTACTTTATGCATATATTAGTTGTTAATGGCTTACAAACCTTGAATAAATATTCAAAACTGTAAACTCTCGCATTTAAACTACCAGATAAAATATATTTGTCCAATCTAAATGTTTCTCTGTGAAACCATCTTTTGTACCATATTTGTGTTTCAGCAGCATTTTTTATTTGAAATATATAGATTACATAAGTGATATAAATATGCATGAGAGAGAGAGAGACTGCTGTGGCCTCAATGAATGTAAATGTGATATGAAATAAGGCATATGAATGACACCTAAATAATCGTAGATTTTATGTGGACTCCAAGTCATCATAGGCAACGTCTGACAGTCGCATCTTCAGTGTGTTCTAGAAAAAGTAAAATGATATTTTGTATTATATTTTGTAGCCCTCCACTGTGGATGATAGACGAGGCAGTCGTCCAAGATCTATGGTTAGATCATTCACAATGCCTTCTTCCTCAAGGCCACTGTCTATTGCATCTGTTTCCTCAATTTCATCTGACAGCACACCTTCTAGACCTGGCTCTGATGGGTAAGGATGCAGACTTCAGGTTCCACGGCATGGTTGGAAGGCTACGCCGTGCAGTAACCTTGCTGAAGCTAACTAGGTCCTGGTCTAGTCAGTGCCTGGATCAGGCACCTCCTGAGGAACCCTGTGTCCACCATGTATGAGTTCCATTAAGAGAAGAAAGCTATGATATGAATGCAATAAAAATAAATGAAAATAGCTAATTGAATAAATGCTTTAGCCAGAGGTAGACAACTGTTTTCTCACAAGTGCCGAAAACCTATCGCGTTGCTCCTAAAAGATGTTGGTGTGCTAGAAAAACAGGTTGGAGAGGCAAGGGGCTGTGGCTCAGTGGTAGAGCATATGCTTGGCGTGAAGGAGGTCCCTGTTCAATCCCCGGTATGTCCCGTTAAAACATCTGGCAACAGGTGATGTGAAAGACCTCTGCCTGAGACCTTGGAGAACCACTGCCAGTCTGAGTAGACAATACTGACTTTGATGGACCAAGGGTCTGATTCAGTATAAGGCAGTTTCATATGTTCATGTGTGCACTTGGACGGATGCTGGGTGACCAAGATGGCATTGCTGCCAGCTTCCCAGGGGCTTGTCTTGAGCAAAGAGCTGGCTTTGCATGCCAAGCAAAAGAGTCTTGTATGGTGCTGTCCATTGTGCATGCCTAGGAGCTTGCCCTCCCCTGTGTTCATGTCTCGCTGGTTCTCAAAATTTCCCTTTTCTTAATATTTAGGATAGCCAATGAGAGATAACTATACATATGCACCTGCATAACACAAAACCTTAAAACATGTGTGACCTTTGGGAGATTGTCTTTGTCCCAAGTGTTAAAATTTGCACATGGATTCTTGTGTCTGGGTGGTGGCACTTAAAATCCTTAGCCTTGAGGCTTTTACTAATTTGGCACCCTTATTTCTTTATTAAATGTATCAAAATTAAGGATTCCTTGAGGCCAGTTAACCAATTTCACCTCAGGTCTCAGACTTATTAAGACACTCATTCCTAAATCCTTGCAGTTCTTGACTGGTGCTAGTTACAGTGTTAATGCTTAACGATTGCTTCATAACTCTGGCCTTTCTGACATTTGCAGGCAGGGATCAGGGTCCTCACTGCTTACTGCTGCTCCACAGAGTTGGTGTTCTAACGGTCCTGTCCTAAGCAGAGTTTTCAACGTTTCAAGCCCACTGATTTCAGTGGACTTAGAAGAGTGTAACTCTGCCTCGTATGGCAATGCAAGAGGCTCTGAGAGGTCATATGTCTGGAAAGCATCCTCTGAAGTAAAAACTAAACTCCCATAGCCCATTAGCAGTATTCGTCCAGTTTCATGTTCTGTACGTATCACAACAACTGATGGATGAAAGGATTTGGGCTATGGAAGCTCGCTGGGTGACCTTGAGCGTGAAGTAAAAACTAAAATCACATAGCCCATTCACAGTATTCGTCCAGTTTCATGTTCTGTACATATCACAACAACTGATGGATAAAAGGATTTGGGCTATGGAAGCTCGCTGGGTGACCTTGAGCCAACCATTTGCTCTCAGCCTAACCAACCTCACAGGGTTGTCGTTGTGGATAAAATGGAGAGGAGAATGATGTAAGCTGCTTTTGGTCCCCATTGGTGAGAAAGGCAGGGTATAAATGAATTAAATAGAAAACAGAGAAATTCTCTGTTGTGCCTGCACTGCAGTGGCCATTCATGGTGCAACAGTGGTGGCATTAGTCGCTTCCCTAAGGGGTAAGTTACATGATGGCCAAATGGGGGGAGGGAGGAAGCCTCACTTGTCCTCTGCAGCATACATCCCCTTAAAGAGACCAGTGTGTCCTACCTCTGGAGTTGTGGGGTGACCTCCTGGAACTATTTGTAGGGCAGAGGGCTGCCGCTGTAATTGGATGCTGAGGAGGGTTAGGGCTGGCATGGGTGGGTGTGCTGATTGGGTGCATGCTTGATTGGTATCCTGAGCTGTTTTGGTTCCCATGGGTGTGGCCACCACTGTGTGGAGAGCACTGAATTAGGAGTTACCGTGACCACCAATGGGCTGTGCGGGCATTTTTGCCGGTGCAATTTTGCACCTTTTATGGGGAGTGCTATCACTCTGAAAATGCTTTGGGAGCCACCTAACTGGTGCCACACCCCCTGGAACACCCACATTTATGCCACTGCAGGGGTTTGCGCCATCATTCCACCAGCATGTGGCTGCATTGCAGCTGTGCCAGTGGAAGTGCATGGCACAGCACCACTCATGCCCTGCACCAGCGTAAATGCCCCTTACACCGGTGTAATTCAGACTTATGCCAGCATGGTGGTCAGTCAGCTCCCTGTGCCAATTGCACCCCCTTAGGATTGTGCTGTAAATGTAGGTGTATGAAAGAACTGTGCAGATATGGTTGTAAGTTTGTGGGAGGATCTGCTCTTACCTATACTGATCATATACATATCTGCTGTCTCTGCCACATAATATGTACACATATTTACAAGTACAGGCATTTAATAGCTGTACTGTTTTCATTAGTATTTCTAAACATATCCAACTTTCCTGTAGCACTTGACATGAATGATCACACTAGTCCTTATAACAGCCCTGCACAGTAGGCCAGTATTAATATCCCGCTAGTTCAGATAGGAGATTGAGACTAGGACCACTTGGGGAGTTTGTGAAGATTTGAACCAGTCATCTCCTGGATCCAAGCTCTCTCTCTTAGCTGCTAAGTTACATACTCACTATGTATGTTATAAACTGCCATTACATCAAATTAGGCAAACAGATGTTCTTTAGAGTGTTTTTTGAACAGTAAACTTTAATCATTAACAGACATAGGGAATTAGTATCGTAATAAATCTGCCACATGTTTAGGAATTGCCGGTGGCTGTTCCATAATAGGCTCATCTGCAAACTTTAGCACAAGAAAGCTGGACACTGATTGGCTGTTCCTTTTCCCCATTCGTATTATTAAGTTTGCTAAGCTGATAAAGGAATGATGCACTAAGTTATGCTGTGGTTACAAAATGTAAATGGCATTTTTGACATCAATATATTAGTCATCTTAGTAAATATGAATGTCTTTCAGGTTTGTGCTTGAGCCCCTTCTGCCAAAGAAAATGCATTCTAGATCACAAGATAAGTTGGACAAGGATGACCCAGATAAAGATAAGAAGGAGAAGAAGAAAGAAAAGAGAAACAGCAAACACCAAGAGATATTTGAAAAAGAATTTAAATCGACAGATATTTCTCTGCAACAGTCTGAAGCAGTGATCCTTTCAGAAACGGTAATGATAACTGAGCCATACTTAGTTGTGAGCAAGAGCTTTTGTGTACCTGAACTCAATGGATAGTGAGAACAGTTGTACTGTGTTTGACATAATACTGCAGCATTCGCATAGGAATTCATATAGGAGCATTTCAGGAATCCCAGCACATGCATGTTGCTCTTCAAGGAGGACCTATCTTAACTACGGACGATTATTTATTCAAGTGGTCATTCATTGTAGTGGTCATAAGCAGTTGATCGACCAGTTGTCTATATTGTCCTGTTCAAGTAGAAAGGAGAATTTTATCACACGTCAGGTGGAAGAGCTTGATGAACTGCTCATGTGTACACACCCAACAATGAAGGTATGTGCAGGATGCAGAGGTGCTTTACTCAGGATCCGATGCACGTTTCAGGCCTACCATAACAGTGGAACTCTTGACCCAACCTAAAGTGAAAATTGGCTGTTATACATAGTTAGCAGAAAGCAGAGCACAGTCTACTGTTTCTGCCAGTGCAGTTACTGCGGATTCATATGTTCAGGCTGACCATATACCAAATGAAGACATTTGATAAGACAAGTTAAACACAGAGTTTTTCTGAAAGAATTCAAAAGTATCTAAGCAATTTTTATGAACATTTTTCCTTATCTGTGGTCTCAAACAACCTTTCTAAACTCTAGTCTGGATCAAGTTATGTCTAATGTGCAATTGATTTATTCATCACTAACATGGTTTGTTTTGAATATTACTTATAATCGATCTCATTGCTACAATGATAATGTGAACTGAGTCTGAGAGCCAGTGACTTGCCCAAGATGCTCAGATAGTGCTGCTGCCTTATCTGGGAGGTGTTGTTGGCAAAGTGATGTGTCTGTTGCCATTTTGGTTATTTCCATACATGCAGTTCAAAATTCTGGAAGTGGCACTGAGTTGGAGCTAAGGATTTGAACCTGGGTACCTTATTGCTACCTTCGTATTGGCTCCATGGATATCTTAAGATTGATTCACTTTTCCATGTTCGTCCTTCCATAAGGAAGAATAGCCACATATTTGTTTAATGTAAATGCACAGACAGTTTGTATCTGTGGTCATTAATCTGTGATTGCACACTCATCCATGCAAGTCATCGCTGTATGTTAGTCAATATGGTGGGCAGTCATATGTTAACAAGCTCTTAGACTCTTTCTTTTTCAGGTAAATATCACATAATAGCTTTTAAATGAGAAAAAAAGACTATAAGGTAGCATGCACCCTCTGCAACTAGAAAAGTGGAGGGATATTACAGGCTATGTGAATGCTTCAGTTTGCTTCCAAAGTGGAAGGTGATTACCATGGAGAGCAGCCATGGTTCAATGGTGAATCATCTTCTTGGAATGCTGAAGGTCCCAGGTTCAATACCTGGCATCTCCAGTTAAAAGGATGAAGTCGGAGGTAATATGGAAGACCTCTGCCTCAGACCCTGAAGAACTGCTGCCAGTCAAAGTAGACAATACTAACCTTGGTAGACCAGTAGTCTGACTCAGTATAAGGCAGCTTCATGTATTCATGCTACCACAGACTTGGGGCGGGGGGAGGATTATGATTGTTAACAGCTTACTTAGCTTTATATAGGTAGGTCTGGATATGATAATGATGTGTGACTTTGATGGAGGAATGCATGGTTAAGAATGTAAATATCTATTAATAACCACATTTTAAAACTCAGCCTCAATCCATATGGAGAATTTTGTGGGCTGATACCTTGAGGAAGAGGTTTTTTTCCTAAGTAGGAGGTTCTACTTCAAAGGGAAGTTTCAGTGGGCCCAGGAGGTGGATTTAGTGCTCCTGTACCTTCACATTTACAACATTGCATAAGAAGAAACTTACCTTATCAAGCAAACTCTTGACTAGTGACTGGACTTCATTCAGTATAATTGCTGGACACTGTAACAGCAGAGATTTTGCCCAAAATGGAAATGGGCTTTTATTTAGACTAACTGAATATGCTATAGGCACACAGTTCACTGCTAAATGTGTGCTTGATCCATAAAGCCAGGAGTCACATGTCAAATTTTCTTTCTAAATTATACCTTGGTGGGAAACCTTGAAATGAATTACGTACCATACTACAGGAGATTCTCAGATCAGAACTACTTTTCTGCATACTGCTCTTAGAATCATTGGGCCACACAGAGTCAAAATTTGATGTTAACCATGAACAAAATACCTATAATTTACTTGCTAAACATTTCAGAACCTTGGATGCTCATATACAGATATCGTAAGAATACTTATTTTTCTAAAACCCTCTCCCCACACAAACTTTTTATCATGATAAAAAGCCATGAAGACTTTTAGGTATAATATTTCTATGAGAAAAGAAATTTCCAATTTAAGGAGAACAAATACAATGGCCAGGTTAACTTTTAATTGCTTTGAAGTTAAAAGGTGGCATATTTCTTCTGACATTCAGCAGAATGAAAATACTTCAAAAAGGTTGATTAATCGAACTGCTTTTATAGATATTTCCTAATGTCTTTGGCAACTACAGTGATATAATTCCAAAGAACTTGAGACAAAAGTGCAACTTTAAATGATCATATTTGGAAGAACATGTTTTGTAAAAGATCTGTTCCTTCCAACAGGTCATTTACAACAGCCAGAGTAGAACATGCAGTGTGTTTACTACACCCCTTGTTTTCAACAAATGTGGAGTCTGGTTTACCACATGGTTCTGTATCCACATAAACATCCATATGCAGATATGCAGATACTTAATGAACTGAAGGCTAGTGATCAAAACCTGACATATATATCTAGATCAGGTTGGATACAGACTACATTTTCCAGTGTCAGATTGGAACTTTCCCATCCTACTGCACTCTACTGAGACAAGGGACCCTGAGAAATGACATGAGGGGGTCAGCAGTGGAAAGGAGGAATCTGTAGAAATTGCCAGTTTAGTCTAGATCCCAAAGAATTTAGTTTGCTATGAAGGGCTGTATGTACATTTTTATACAAGCATATGTCCATTGTATGTCCAATATAAAGAAGAAAGGTATAACTATCATCTGAGGGCTCATGTGACATTCCTTTTATTGTTAAAAAAATCTAAAATAAGAATATCCTTCAGTATGAGAGGCACTAATGGCCTTAATGCCATTCAAACTGAAGGATATTCTTATTTTAGATTTTTTAAAAATAAAGGGAATGTCCTATGAGCCCTCAGATGATAGTTATAACTTTATTTAAGGCATTTACTAATGCTTTAAATACATACAAGTTGCTCCTTTGCCTTTTTCTTTTGGCCCCAGTCCTCTTCCTCTGCAGGTTGAACGTGCAATACTGGAGTTGCAGTCAGCAGCATATAAATGGTAAATAAGAACTGGGTAACAATGACATGGAAGGTCCATTTTGAATAAATGACTGTGACAGCAATGCCAGTTTTGGAAAATATCCTAAAGTGAAAAGTCTTAACTGCATGGAACCTAAATTTTGAGTTCAAAATGTCACTGCACAGGGTCTGTAGTGCTCATGTGACACAGAAAGTAATGTGACAAATTTCACTTACATGTCCCATTGTTTTGGAGCATGACTAACTTTGTGAGTGCTTTAACTCTTGTAAAATGGAGATTTTTAAAAAATAGTATACAATAATAATTTCTGTGTATTGGCAAAGCCATATATTCTCTCTGTTCTAAGGGGAAGAGTGGTTGTACTGTATAGGGAGAAGTAAGATTGCAGCCACACATCTCCAGCAACATCTTTGCACACCAACTCCCCATGCAATTCTCCACCTCGAAAACTGACAGGCATCTGAGCAAACATGGCATAGTCAAAGTGTCCAGTTCTCTTGGGAGAACGCCTGCTGTGTGAAAAGGCAAGCTGCAGCATCCTATTTGTGAAGCTACATCTCTCTTTACTTTGCATTTTTTCTACCAGAAAGGCCAATAAGAGATGGTGGGATGTCTATTTGTCTACTTATCTATGTGTTTGGTTTTTTTCTAAATCTTCTAAATCTTATCCTCCAGGGAGCTCAGGGCAGTGTTCATGTTTCTCTCTTCTTCCTTTTATCTCCACAACAACCCTGTAAGGCTGAGATTGTGTGACTGGTCCCAGGTCACCTGGTGAGTTTCATGGAAGTGGGGTATTCAACCCAGGTCTTCCGTATTCTAGATCAGTACTCTTACCTCTACACTACACTGGATCCTAAGTTTCTAAGTGGGGATGACTACCCTTAGGCCTCTTTCTCCATTTTCTCTTTCCAACAGGCAATGATTAGTAGATAGTCCACTCAATGTATTTTTTCTGAGCTCTTTTTCAGTAAGGGTAGGGTACAAATCTTCATAAATGTACTTTAAATTGTTATAGAATAATTCTGTTATTAAAAACATGTGTTAATAAAGTTTTTCTAGCTATGCACTTGGTACATTACCATACTAATTTAAATGGGTGATCAAAAACAAAGACATTGTACATTTTATAAAGAGAAAATTGATCCTAATTAAATGGTTCTTGTATGCTTTTGATCTGCTCCACAAAGATAATTAAAATACTTCAGTATTTTACTATTATCAGTAATGGTTCTTTAGATTCCATTTGTCTTTTTCTAAGTAGCAGAAAATTTCCTTGATACAACCTCTTGTACTTAATTTGTTCATTCCAGAGCATTTTGCTCAGACAAACTCTGGTGCTGAGTGTTTAACAGAACACTCAGATGCGAATGTCAAACATCAGAATAATAGGCTGCACATTTTATTGATTAAATGACAGTCACTGTTAATGGGTACTGATTCTGTTTTCATTACACTAAAAAGTTATATTTTCATTCTAGATAGTCTCTTAGACCTATATAACTCAGGAAAGTGTTCTCTGAGGAGAATAATAATTAACCTTATTACCCCTGAATCATACATGATAGGTCAAAAAAACCCTACAAAAAACCGAACATTGAACTAAAAAGCAGCTCTACAATAAAGGGTGTTTTGTAGCTTTTTATGCCCAATGGATCCAGTCACTATTTGTCATCCCAATCTAC